CCAATGCCTTGTTGTAACAGCTCACTGAGAGTTGTTCTAATGCCTTGTTGTAACAGCTCACTGAGAGTTGTTCTATGAGACCACCCGCTGATTTGGCTCGTTCGATGTTAGGGGTTTCAGATTTGTCCTCAAGTATGGATCGGTTCTCACCAGTTCTTCCTCCTTCACGTTTTGTCATTGACGTGCATATGTCGTTCAGTCGTGAGGGGAAGAAAAGTTTCAGCCGCCGCAGGGTAGTTAGTCCCTGAAGGTTTGTTGCTATTTTAGCCGCTGTAGGATGGTTAAGTCCCTATAGGTTTGTTGCTGTTAGCCACTGCAGGCAGTTCAGTTCCTGCAGGTTTGTTGTTGTTCAGGGCAGTTAAGTCCTTAAAGGTTCGTTGTTGTTAGGGCAGTTAAGTCCCTTAAGGTTTGTTGTTGTTCAGGGTGGTTAAAGTCCCTACAGGTTTGTGGCTGTTAGCCTTTTAGTGCCGCTGTAGGGTAGTGTAATCCCTGCAGGTCTGTTGCTGTTTAGGTCTGTTGCTGTTTAGGGCAGTTAAGTCCCTGAAGGTTTGTTGCTTTTTAGGGTAGTTAAGTCCCTACAAGTTTGTGACTGTTAGCCTTTGAAGGCCTCCCATATGTTACTCATGGAAATCATGTTCTTGAAGTTTTGTTGTTGTTCGCCACTATTGATGGCAATCCAGTCCCTGCAGTTTGTTGTTGTTTGCCACTGGAGGCCCTTCATCTGTTCTTGTAGTTTGTTGCATTTTGCTGCTGCAAGTCATCATCCATTTTTGATGGAAATCTCCCTCGTCCATTGCTGTCCAAGTTGAAGTTTCATGGTGCTAGTTCGCCCTCGTCCATTGTTGTCCAATTTGGTTTATTGACGTTCTCTACAATTGAGTTTGACTATTCCAAGCTTGGTTCATACAATCCTGTATGATCTAGCTTGAGGGAGAGTGTTGTAATTTGAGATAATATCTTTAGAATCTTCCTAATTAGAGGAAATAGATATATAATCTTTATTTTATTTTACTTTCCTAGTTTCCCTATTTCCCTTTTTAGGAGAATTAGATTATTACTAATAGAAAGTATCAGAATGTATTTTTTACGATTGAGAATAATAAATCAGTCTTATTTTCCACAATAAGATAACATGCAGTTAAGATGGCATCCCCCCAGTGATGGGCACCAAGCAAAAGGGTACGAGCAATTTCAACCAAGTGTCTATTTTTTCGTTTTGCTATACCATTTTGCTGCGGTGTATGAGGACAAGTAGACTGATGTAAGATACCATGGGAACTTAAGATGGCAGAAAAGGAAGTCTCACATCGACTAGAGATAAGGCCAATTCATAGTTTATAAGTGGGTGCAAACCTCACCCTACAAGCCGGTTTTGTGGGGTTGAGTTAGCCTTAAAGTCCACTTCTAACAAAAAACAAAAATAACATTACATTTCAACACTTTTTAATGATTCAGAATGGTGATCCTTTGGATAATACCTCTGTCAAATATATGCTAGGTTAATACAAACAATTGGTCATTGATTTATCTGATATTTTGAGGATTATGAAAATTGTGTTTCATGTGTAACATAAGTTATTTATATTCCCTTGAATGTATAACCCTCTTATTTTGTGGAATATTCTTAGATGGCTTTTTCATCAAAGTTGATTTAATCCTAAATCAATTTTATTGCTGTACCACAATATAAAACTACATTTCAATAAGAAAACCTGAGCTGCTTGTTTAAATCAATATAGGGTATCCTCGTTTCGGTCTTTGTTTCACATTGTATTATTGGCGTCATGATTTCTTGACTTTTATTGTAAATTTGGCCTATCTCCCAAACTAGACAACGTAGGACAGAAAAATAATTAGGGTTTCTACATAAACATGTTTATTTGGGTTTTCTTGAAATGATCAATCATATAAAAACAAGAAAATTGGAAGTTCATGGGGTTTTCAAAAGGTAGGGAAATTCGCATGTTGTTGGATGGGGGTTTAGGCTCAGTTGGTGGGTGAATTAATGAAAAAGGTAACGCAACATATTGTGAGACACTATTGTTAGAAGTCCCACATCGACTAGAGATAATGTAAAGTATAATAGCGGGTGCAAACCTCACCTTACAAGCCGGTTTTGTGGGGTTGAGTTAGGCTTAAAAAGTTCACTTCTTAACATGATATCAAAGTCAGGTTAGAGCCTATCCTAGCGATATTTATTGTTTGTTGGGCATATTGTTCCACCCGCTATCGAACTACCCATTAATGTCTAGTCTCACGCTCGAGATGTATATACCTCTGCTTGAGGAGAGGGCAGGGGGGGGTTGGAAGTCCCACATCAACTAGAGATAAAGCCAATTTAGAGTATATAAGTGGGTGCAAACCTTACCTTACAAGCCAATTTTGTGGGATTGAGTTAGGCTTAAAAAGTCCACTTAACAACTATGAGTAAAGGAACTACGACTATGTTTCCTTAATTGACGTGACTCACAACAAATTAGATAAATTGGACAAACTGGGAACAAGTTGCTTCAATTTGGTAAGACTGAGATGATCCAACTGAGCATGAAGAAGAGATGGAGACTCCATAACTATGCCAACATGTGTAGAAGGGCACAGATAACAAATGCCATGAGACTCACATTGGGTGCCAATTATTTGTCCCGAACTTCGGTCCTGTAAACAAATAAAATTTTCGGTAAAAGAAATAACACAATCAAGAGAACAGGTTAGACAAATAATGGATAATAAGTTAAAGAGGATCGAGGGATATAAAGAACCTTATTAATGGTTAAAGATGGAAAAAGATTAATAGCACCAACACCATGAGATAAGACCCTAGACCCATCAGCTATTGTAACCATAGTTAAATTATCCAAAGAGGATAAAGAAAAAAAACATATTTGTTACAGTAATGGGATTTGTGGCACCTGAGTCAAGAATATAAGGTCCAAGGAAAGAAATTTGAGTTAGGCCAACAAAAGATATACTTGTGCATGCAAATGAAGCAGTGGAACTAGAGTTCTGACGATTCTCATACCATTTGAGAAATTCATTGAAAAGAGCAAATTGGCCTGTGTTATCAAAAGAGGCAGCAAAAGAAGCCATGGAGAGAGAAAAACCCTAAAAAACAAGGTTCTCCAATCAAGGCAACAAGCACAGATCCTGAAAGAGGAGGAGGCGACTTAAGTGCAGTTGTTCGCTATCCAGATGATACGTTTCTATCCTGGAAAGAGTACCCTCGTTTTTGAATTTGATTCCTCCTGTACCATAAACAAAGAAAATAAGAGAATAATGCGGAAATAAGATAGAGACTATCAAAAGCTTTAGGTTTTAGATACCATGTTAAATATAATAAAACTAGATATAGGATTAATCTCCTTTGTGTAAAAAATACACATAGGGTAATAAAAATGAGAATGTGGACTAAGTCCAAATAAAAATGTAAAAGTAACATAATTAACATAGGGACTATATTTCCATAATTAACATAAAACGCAATATATCTAAGAATAAGCATCAAACTGTATACATATGTGTGTGGGTGTGTTTTACTTGGGCCACGGAGGCATTATGAAAATATTCGCCAGTTTACCATTGGAGTTCACAAATAATGTAATGATTTCTCCAAAAAGAATATTTTCTTAGATTAAGGGAAGTCAATTTTATATTCTTAGTATGTTTATGAAATCCTGATTTGGACGCAATGTGCAAAGCTGCTATATTATCACAAATGAATTCCATAGTTGATCTTATTTCACAAAATTTCACAATATTTGAATTGAAATACTAATGATGTATCATAGAAGCAGCTATGTTAGGAATTGTGAACTGTTTTCTCTTCTGAATCATAAGATTCACGGACTTTAAAAAATTGTAATATACTTGAATCACAAAACTTTCATTTTACGTGTAGTCTATTTGTAGGAAGACTTTCATAATAGTTCCAAGTAATGTCAGGCTCCCTTTTTGATTTACCCATTATAATGCAAAAGTCCAGTAGAAAACTCATTCAGCAGTAGCATGTGTAAAGCAAGGGAAGGGAGCAGCACTGCAGCAACACATTGTTCTGGAGTAGAAGGGAATATTACCAACGTTTATAGTTTATTAAATAGACACAAGGAAAAGACAAAGATAATTGGGTGATAGGTGTAGGCAGAGAAGAGAGATTATGGCTGAGAGTCTAGAAGTGAGGAAGAGGCAAAATAATAAGTGGATATGGCTGGAGGGAAAAGAAAGACCATTTTGCCTCTCTTCCTGCTCAGATTTGTGCAGAATTACAAAGCAGATATAGGGATTTTTCAAACTGGGTTGCATGACCCAACCCATTTCAGAGTGTGATTTGTGAGCCATTCCACCCACAATTCAGTGCACTGAATCAAACCAGAATTGTGATTCATTGATTCTGAAAGCGCTTTGAATGATGTCAGATTCAGGAGGAAAAACGATTATAGTTGTGATATGTATCGCAGGGGCAGAAAATGTATCATATCGTATGATACTAATAGTGTATCATATGATACTACCATGCAAAATTTCAATTGTTGAAGTAGTTTCTTCAACCATGTTAGTTCACACATATGACTAGCCAGAGCTAAGAAGAGTATCAATTGTCCACAAGAGGTTTGAGCTAATCTGAAGCTGGAGTAGAGATTGATGTGTCAATGTAGGTTCTAGAATTTTGGTTTAAGGCCGAATTCAAGCTCTCAAAATTGACTTTGAAGTTGTGGACTACCTAAGCTTTATAGAGCTTTTTAAGTTATATCAATAATTAATGTAGAACTAAACCACCACTCTTTAGGCTACAATTCAAGGTAGTCCCCATTGAGGCCACAACTAAGGTGGGCTAGGAGTGATTGCAATCAAAGTAACTTTCGAACACTCTCCTTCACACATAGGGCTACCGCCTGGAGTGTGGCAAATGCATGTGGCCCAGCAGTGATCTAAAATAGGTCCTGATACCATTTTAGGATTTGGGTTTAAGATTCGATTTAACCCCACAAAATTAGCTTCAAAGATGAGAACTGCTCTAGCTTTATAAAATATTTGCAAGTCGTATCACTATATGATGTAGCACTAAATCACACCCTTGAGGCTGCAATTAAGATTCCCCCAAAGAGGCCATAACTAAGGTAGCTTAATAACAGTATGCTAAGTCAGTATTGGGCTTTTCTGGTGAGGTGAAGAAATGAGAGTCCTCAAAGAAAGTGACATTTGCAACATTTAAAAGGAACACATTGGAATGTAACACAATATCCTAGCTGAGTCTGAGAATGTCAAGTTATGTTCACTTGTTGAACAGGCTGATAATTATCAAAATCTGGAGAAAGATAATTAACAACATAGGTAGAACTAAAAATGCGAAGATTATCTGTAGTAAACAGAATGGAATAGAATATTTTATTATTAAGAAAATGAAAATTGATTTATCAAGTAGCCAGTGTTGAGAACAACGTTGCCCCAAAGTTTTAAAGGTGTACCATGTAATAAAAGAGCATGGGCTGTGTCAAAATTGTTACAAATTTTCTTTTCTGCTATGCTATTCATTGTGGAGTATGTGGACAAATTGAATCATGCCACATATGGCCATAAAAGAATTAGAAAATGCAGAAAAACTATTCTTTTGAATTATCAAACATGTATAATACAACTTTTTTTTTTGTCCAAATTGGGTTTAAATTTTGTTGCTGAAGTTATAAAAAGTAATGAAAAACTATAGAAATTCTTCCGTTAAAGATACCCAGTTATTTCTTAAAAAATACGTGAGCAAGTGACAAAGTAGCTGTACTCTTCGATGCAACTGACTTTAAAATCTAGTTGTTGCTGCCCTTTGTTTTATTTTGTTTGAGAAACATTTAATATCACATATATGACCTAATAATGCTATGCATTGTATTAGGTTTTGTTGTTCGTTTCTGTTTGCTCTGAAGTATTTACTGAGCTATGTTGCTTTCAGGGTTTTGTTTCAGCAGTAAACCATATGCGCTCATTTGTTCCTGCCATTTATGATGTAACAGTGGCAATTCCCAAGAGTTCACCTGCTCCTACAATGCTAAGACTCTTCAGAGGAAAATCTTCAGTGGTGAGCCTATCAAAGTAGACATTTAGAAAGAACAAAATAAAAGTAGATGCTATCAAACATGAGACTTCCACCAAGTTTCTCTTAATTTCATTGTCTTCATTATTCTTCTACAAGTAATTAATGTGCAGGATATTTTGATTGCAGAAATTAATAATGTCACTATAAATAAGAATTAGCTCAGGAGGCATAAAAAGGAGTGCATTTCCTGCTTGATGCGGGTCTTGATATATAAATGCCTTTCTGATCAATGTGTGCTTTGGTAATTTGGTAGCCACGAAGAAGGCGCATTAAGATTAGGAGTCCAATGCATGTGGATAGAATTGATTTCTTTTTTCTTCCTCAAATTGTATGCTATTTCCAGAACATATTTTTGTAGCATGTATGGAATAAGATTTCATTTTCTTTCTTTTGTTTTTGGTCTGATGGTATGTGAAGGCTAACAATGACTATAGTCAGAAAAGTTAATCAAATGACCATTGTAGGACACCTGATAATCTTATTTAACAGAACTTTATCCTGGAGATTTTGAGTAGGCTTATTTGTATTTATGGAAAACCATGGTATTGCCGGGGAATTTGGAGGCACTATTCTTGGTTGTTAAAGGAACAAGAGTTTTGACTTTGCAATTTGGTACTTACGTTTTTACTTTAAAGAATAGCAGAGCTTTTAAGGATCCATAGTTTTCTATGTAGCCACCTAAGCGATTTGGTGCGTATGTTTTTAGCTTTTACTTTTAAGAATAAAGAAGCTTTTAAGGATTAAGAGTTCTGTGTAGCTGCCTGACCGAACAATATGCACCACTTCCTTATGCTGTTTTTTCCTCAGTTTGCTTTTGTTCCGCAAGAGGATTTCTTATCTTTCTGACATAATCTTTATATATATATATATATATATATATTTTAGAATATATAGTTTAATTAAAAATTTACTCATTTTACCACCTTAGGTGCATGTGCATATTAAGCGACATTTGATGAAGGATTTGCCGGAAGAAAATGAAGCTGTTGCTCAATGGTGTCGAGATATATTTGTGGCTAAGGTGTGTTATTTGAATTTTTATCTGTTAATTGAAGCGTGAAAGCCACTCTGTAGTTGTCCAAGTTTTTTTTATTGATAACTGTGCAAATAATGTTACCATATATATTAGTTCCCATAGTCTATTTGCAAGAATGTTTCGGTATATTTTGTAGCTTCTAATTCTCGTTGTACACTTTTGCACTTTTTTCGCCCTTATTCCTCTGGGACACCAGGATGCATTGTTGGACAAACATATAGCTGAGGACACATTTAGTGGCCAAGAGCTGCAGGATACCGGTCGACCTGTAAAGTCTCTTGTGGTGAGATACTTCTTATCACGTCTAACTTCACGTTCCTTATTTATCAGCCTTCTTCTATTGCATAAATTTTACACTTTCTGTCCTTTTCATAGGACCCAAATCAGAGGTAGGCTGGTCTTGTTATATAATTCAATCTAGAATGTCTCCAGCTTTAATTTGTTTTTCACAAAAATACCCTCTCAACTACAAGTATTTTTCTAAGTTCAATATACTATAAGTGGAATGCATTAAGATCTTTAAGTTCTTTGCCGTCTCTAACTCATGTATAAAAGTATTTGAAAAAACTTTAACACACACATATACCAATAAAAATTACAACAATAAATATTTTAACGATGAACATTTAGCATAATAAAAAACTAAAAAATGTTTACAAAGCAATAAAGGTAGGTTTTATTAACATTAACTTTGTTAAAAAGTAAACTTTAAACCTAATTCAACCCTACAAAATCATATTGTAAGGTGAGATTTACACGCGTTTATATACTTTAAATTAATTTTATCTCTATTCGATGTAGAACTTTCAACCTATCCCCACATCTCGAGATATATACATCTCGAGCATGAGACTTAACATTATTGGATGGTTTGATAGCGGGTGAAATAATATGTTCAAAGGATAAACTTTAATCTGGTCATGATACCATGTTAAAAAATGACCTTTAAATTTAACTCAATCCCACAAAATTAGTTTGTAGACCTTTAAATTTAACTCAACCCCACAAAACTAGTTTGTAAAGTGAGGTTTCCATCCACTTATATGTTCTAAATTGATCTTATGTCTAGTCAATGTAGGACATCCAACAAAGGGAAATTCTAGAAAAAATATACAAATTATAGACAAATTTAATACTACTAGCTACATATAAATTATTTTTTTCCTCATAAACTATTTTACTGTTGGAACAGGTTGTCATATCTTGGGCTTGTGTGGTTGTAACGGGGGCCATAAAGTTCCTTCAATGGTCTTCACTACTATCTTCCTGGAAGGGTATTGCATTTTCTGCAATTGGTTTGGGAGTTGTCACTCTACTCATGCACATCTTGATTCAGTTCTCACAAGCTGAGCGTTCAACCCCTTCCAAGGTTGCCCCAGCAAAGTCCCGGAATAGGGAAGAGATAGAGGCTAGGGATAACAAACAAGACTAGTTCACACAGGTTATCTGAATATTCTATACATAGATAGGGAATTCATCAGAGGTCATATCTTGAACTTGAAAATTGCACTTCAGTGGTTTATCAAAAAAGTTGCATTAACGTGTCTTTAGGTACTCACTATTGTTTGTTTTGGAATTTCACCTCGTATGTGTTCATTACTACGCATATACTACTCATTATTTTCAAATTAATTAGGATGAATTTGTATAGACAAATATATAGGAAAGGCGTACTAAATCCTACCTAACATCGCACTGTTTTGGGCACGTGTACACTTTCTGTTATTATTTTGTGGTTATTTCTTCTCTTGTTCAAATTTCTAAGTGTCTTTGAACTGTTATCTGCTCTTTTATTTTTAAAAATTATTTTTGAAACAATACATTGTTATACTTTTAATTAGTTATTTATTTTAGTATAATGTAATGATTTTGTTGCTTTAATTATGCACTTGAGTTATTGCTTTCTCCTTAAGATATTATCAAATCTGTGAATAAAAGTGAACAATATCTTCACTTTGAGGGTGCTTTGGACTCTGTAACTTTTTTTACTCCATTATTTTTTAAGTTTTTGAGAGTTCTAGATAGTATGGAAGTGAAAAATACTTTTTATCACTTTTTTTTGTTTCTCAATATTTAACAATGTTGACACAATTATCGAAATAAATTTTAACTATAGTTTCAACACATGTATTAGGAAAAGCATGACATCAATTTTGGTCCACAAGAATTCTGTCTAATTTCTTAGCAATACAATTTCCCAATTGACGTTGATACCAGAAAAACTTGTAGTCCTATGTCTCGATATCCATAAAGTCGTAGGAACTAATCATGCTCAAGAAAAGTGACAACCTTCTTATATACAAATTTATCTCAATACATCTCTTAATACTTAACATGAGCCATAGATGTGAGATATTAAATTGGCGACCCATAAGGTAGTCTAAAAGACCACCCACAAATTCACTTAATGTTTTTTTTTGGAGATTCAAATTGATATTGCCTGAGTAATATATCATGATTTTGAATCCAAATAAGCTAGGATCCAAATTCTTCTTGCCTTATTCCTCCACAATTTATAAGCTGAAACCCCAAAGAAAACCAAAACACGGATTTAGGAAAAAAGAGCAATGAGTTTTAAAAAAAATAACAATGATAAGTTTAGATAAACACTGACTATTTAACACATTTTCAACCCTTGCATTAATTGCCTTGGGAATATTTCGACTCAATCTATTTATTTCATAATCATTTCAAAGTAAAAGAAAAAACAAAAATATTCATTTATACATTTCCATATAATTGGATGACATGTCATTAGGCATTAAATTGTCTTTATTTTTAATACTTTTCCACCACAAATTCAACATAGGACTAGGACTAGTTGTTTGGGTGAGGATAAGCAAAGTAACATTTATAATATGTGTTTCAGGTATAGGGCTGAATGTTCACTTAAAACATTCTTTTGTTGCTTATTCCTTAGTTGTCTTCTTTCTATTAGGATAACTTGTTCTTCAATCGATCAAATGTATCTGTTAAAAATATTTTGATACTAAAGTGAATTTAAGTTTGAGCAGTTAAGTGGTTAAAGCTATAATAAATGTGTGGTAAAACTCTTAACATCTATACCTTTGATCTATATTTATACTTTTGTCCATGAGATTTTTTTATTAGGGTTCGTCGAATAACGATCCAATTTCGTTTAAACCTGACTCTTGACTTGTTTAGATTAACTAGATAATTAACTGATGTTGATCGCGCGATTGATCAGTGTCTTTCGGGTGTGGACAATCGGTCATGTTATTTCAATCGGTACATATCGGGTGATACATATAGTACATAGGTTGAACAAGCCTATAGCTTGAATTAAGATCACAAGCAAAAAAAGGTTTATTATCGCTCAACTCAACCTTGAAAATATGATTGTTAGTATTTGATGGTTATGCCTTCCCGTGAACCGTGTCGATGCTTCACGAACCGCTTAATTCACCTTTGAAAATGTAACTGTGTGGCAATGAATGTGTGTGTTGCCTCGTGAACCACAATGTCAGCTTTAACATCGAATGTGAAGTGTCGCATATCTTTTGTCGTTAGAGGGTGTAAGATCTAACGGTCATGAAAGAGCCACATGTACCCAAAGTTTTTTATAAATAGGCATCAAGTGGCCCCGTCATTTTCACCACTCTTGCTTACACACTTGGTTTTGCACTGTTATGCTTCGTATGTTTTCTCATTCTTAAGGTAATAATGTTTGCCATTAAGATCTTTTTGGAAAGATCCTCTCATTGGCAGGGTAGGGATATGTTAATGACCCATGTAGGTTATCATCATTGCTAGGTCATCTTCCTAGGATCGAGGGTTGTCTGAGTAGAGCTTAATATCTGGAAATCACATCATAACGCTTGCCAAAGTTGATAATAAAGGTTCGATCAAGGACCAAAGAGATAAGGAGGCCTCACGAGAGGAGCGCCCACACAGTTTGGGAGATTCACGCTGACATTGCCGCCAAAGGGAATGAGCTAAATATTCTAGAAGTCCTCAGGTACAATTAGGTGGCACACGAGATTCATGAATAGGCTACTCACTTCAGGTGGGGTAACGATTTAGTGGACCTCGCCAGCTAAACTTTTATTTTGTGGGACAAGATGGAGGATGATGTTGTACATCTTCGCGCGTGTCGGGGCAACGATTAGGTGTGTCACGGTCAGGAAAACACGAAGTTGGATTTCATTTTTATATATTAATGCTTCTTCACTAACATATTCATGCACGTCTTATTGAGAATTTCCAAGTTGGGGTCCTGCAAGAACTGAATGTGGCTCCTACTCATGTTCACCCGAACGTCTGGACAACTATGCAGACATTCGACATCCTTTGCAAGGCTTTGGGCCTCACTTTTACCCTGCTTTAGTCCTTTATCACTATTAGAATCCTTTGATTGACTACTAGGGATGAATGTCTTTAATAAGTGAGAGCGATTGGAATCTTTTCGAACTCTTCACCACTTCCTACAAGGGCTTCAACGAAGGATTCTTCAAGATTATCATTTCTCCCTACGACTTAAAGTTTTTCTTTTATGGGAATGATCGGTCTAAGTTTTCTTTGTACTGAACTTGAAACCCTACTCAGTCTGATCCTTGGGAATCATCGATGATGACCCTTACAGAGTGTTCTCCTCTTGATTTTTGGTGCAGCTGCCTCCCAAGCTCCTTACTAGAGAGCTTTTGAAATGTTTCCACTCCTGTAACATTGGTTGGGATGTTTATGGTAAATAGTCTTTCCTTCTTTAGTTAATTTTTTATGGTTTTTAACTTATCTAAATTTTCTTTTGTGTTAGAGTTATAACGACCCACGCTAATCCATGCAACATCAATTTATATAAAAATTTGTTGGATAAACATTATATCGATACGAGTGATTCTAGGGCTACTCAGGGTGAAGGCCCCTCAACTAAGGTAGTGGAAGAAATGATGCTAATTAGTCTTGTCGATGGTGCGACAAGCTCTCTAACATCTATTTCGAATATTCCTCCCATCACCATCGTTCTTGTTGCCCCCACCGATTGGGAGGAAAAGGCCATGAGAGGGAAGGGCAAAAGAAAGTATAGAGAGTGATCGACTATAATCTATTTTCCCAAGCATGGTCATTGAGGGGGGAGACTTCAAGCCCTCTTGTTGGCGAGGCTTTTGGAACAAACTTTAGAATGAGGTACAAAGTCTCCTTCCACCTTAACCCTAACGAGAAAAAGCTAATAAAAGGGTTATCTAAGGCCAATGCATTAGTTCTTGTGATTGAGTTCAGCTTATGAGTGGTTGCTTTATACTAGAGGGTAACTCACCGACCTGTCAGAAGTGGTCTGATTGGAAAATCAGCTGGCAAAAACCTAAGTCGACCTCGTCATTCTCCTCAAAGCTAACAAGGTCTTGATAACCCTATCGAAGGATCTCAAGGTTGCTTATGTTTAGAAGGAAAAAGATGTTGTTGCGAGAGGTTCTACCTTGGTCAAAACCCTTCTCAGGGAAAAAATTTGGTGGTATGAAAGGGTACATCGTTTGATTATTACATTTGAATAAGCTGAAATAAAATTTGAGTTATGAGGCATTCCACGTGTTCAGTATGGGCTTCCCGTCCAAGCATTCCAATCGATATGCATTGTTGCCCAAGCTTTCAACAACTCTAAATGGTTGTACCCAATTTGTAGCAAGTTTGCCATTGTTAAAACAAGATCGTCTAAAGAGAATGAATTTTCTAGCATCTGAGAGTTTTTAAGTTTAACAAACAACATTTAATGAAATATCATTTAGAGATGTATAATGTTTGAACATTGTGCACATCAGAACATTCTTACTAAATGCTTATAAGACAGACCATGATGTATCAATTATAAAATATTTAACAACATTTGACAAAGACACGTCTCATAAAAGAAGTCATAAACACCACATCTTATCAATTGCGCACTACTTGAAAAAGCTCAGACTTGCGCTAAACGCTTATTATATGAAACATCCTTCAACACTATCTCAATGTATAAATCATTAAAGGCATGTACATAGTGTGCCTTGTTTGTTCTATTTTTTCCTCTTTACTTGTGTAGATATTGACAACTCCAAGATATGCTCAAAAGCACTGCACAAGGATCAAAAAGACATTGTGAGATAGGAAGACATTCTTGGAATGTTTCCTAATGCTTTACGTCTTACTATAGTCATACAAACTCTAACTACGAAAGCAATGCTACTCTTTCCAAGGCATAGAAAAGTAAATATTTTCATACAAGAAGCCACCTAATCTCAACAAAGTCAACTATCTGTGAGTAAAAGGGAGACTCGCACAAGAGAGTAGAAGAACTTTTGCTATCATTGTATCGTTACACTATTATTCTCTCATAAGCTTACATTGTGTAATTCTGTTCATAGAACAAAAGAAAGAACTTCATAAGTTCTCAGATTTCTTTGTATTGTATTTATCCTCTTATTGAGAGTTATCAGAATTTGTACTTCTAAACCAACATAAATTTTGTTTAAAATTTTGAAGATAATTAAAACACTTGTACTGTTTAGCTTATGAGAGTTAAACTTTCTAGACATTATGTCTAGGATTGATACTAGGAGTTGTTAGAATACTTTAATACCAGGAGTGGTTAAGCTCAGACTAGTCAAGATTAACTATGGTTATTAAGAGTGGTGAGAATACTCGGTGTGTACCAAGAATGGCTTGTACTTGGTTGTTATCTTGGATAAGATTAATCGAACCTTTTAATAGTT